TGCCAAAAGAAGTGCATTTATAAAGTGCATAATGGATAAACTTCTGATACTAGAAAAACTGAACAAAAAAAGACCAGAGGTATATACAACAAAAGAGTGCCAAATGTGCCAAGATAAAACAAAAGAAACACAAGCACATTTGGCAGCATGTAAGGGACAAAGAAATCTGTAGAAAAGAATCCAAAAAGTTATCATTGCAACAGTTTAGAAAGGGTTAAATAAAGAAGAAAAGGTTTGGGTCCTCCTATATGTATTATATATAGCACTCTTTGGAAAAACAGAAGCAGAGGAAGTTAAAATAAGAGAGGCATTAATCAAAGGTCTTATTCCAAAAGAAACACAAAACAAATTGAAGCAGTTTCTAAGTACAAAATCAAGACAGCAGTTTATGAAGATAATAGCAAGAACAGTCTAGAACATATTCTATAAACAAGTATAGAAAATCTGATGTGAGAAAATTAATGAATGAGAGAAAAATGAAGAAATAATAGATAGAATAAAAAGAAGAAAAAGAAAAAAGAGAAAAGCATCAAATAAAAAAGAAAAACCAAATTAGTAAGTAATAGAAGAAAAAAAAGTGAAAGTGAAAGAAAAAGAAAAACAAATTATAAAAGAAGTGCAGAAAACAATTTTAGAGCTTATTATAAAAGAGAGAAATCCTTTTATTATGGACTTTAAATAGTCAGATGAGTAACTTACTTTTGCTTAAAGTAATACAACAGATTGCACTTAGGTACCATTAGGGTGGCTTGATGATGCTGAGCTTAGTTGTTAAAGATATTTATATAATTACAAATGTAATTTCAAAATCTTAATAAAGCACTAGTGTGACTGCTTAAAGGAAATAAATAATAATAATAATAATATTTCTTTTAAACTTATAGATAAAATCTATACTATCTTGTTATAGCAATCAAATACTCTACTATATTCTTACTTTCTTAATTTTATTTAAGACCTTTTTATTATATCTCAATATAACAATGTTAAAATATTACTTCATAAAATAACATTATCTTTTTTTACAGCTCTATCAAATGCTACTTTTAATTAGTTTCATTAATATATATAACTACTATATAATATTTTTTGATAATAATAAGAAAAAGCTTGCAACATAACTAATAAATCTAAATGTTTAAAAATATATTTCTTAGTTCTACCTTCTTAATTTAAGTCTAATACTACTAATACATCTGTTATAAATCCAACTATATTTATTAATAACTAGTTAATTCTAAGCTATTCATTTACTAATTGTATTTACTAAATATCAAAACTATTATTTTAAGTTTTTTTTCAACCTTTTATACTTAAAATTAATTTGAAATAATTAATAATAGATGTAATGACTTAGTGAAATGAATAAGTTATCAACTTTCCAAATAATAGGTTAGGTGTTCAAATCCTATTGATAACAAAAATTTAGATAATTATCTATATAATATTCATATTATAATAACTTTTTTTTATTGGATTAAGATATCTGTAATAATGATTATGTCAGTATAATTAATAAGTTATGAGTATTTGTATAACAGGTTATATAAAAGAATATAAACTAGCATCAAACAGTAGAAATACTAGATAAGTTCTTATAGATATGTAAATTTATTAAATTAAAAAACAAGAAGTTTATTTGAGAAAAATCTGAGCAAAGAGCTAAAACAGATCTTTAATAATACTATTGTAAAGGCTAGATCTAGAAAATGTATACTAATATAAAGGAATCAGATAAGCAAAAATCTTGGATAAGAGATACTATTAACCAAACTATTAGAAATCTTAAACCAAAAAAAAAAATCTTAAAAGGTGAAATCCTAAAATACTAGAGACAGATTACAGTTCTTTTAGACTATCTGGATTAGGAGTTTGATATCAAAAGCAGAAATATATTATAAATATTAGTAATATGCTATAAAGTAATACTAGAGTCTGTGTAAATTTTGCAAAGATAAGCTCTATTAACAAAAACTAAAAATAAGTAATTAGTTAACAAAAAAAATTTCTGGAACTCTACAGTCAAATGATATATTCTAAAATATATAATAGCTTGACAAACATATAGACAGAGAGGTTAGAATTAGATTAAATAACACTTAAATATACAGGAACTTGTGTACTATCTGTTAGACATAGTATAAGAATCAGAGTATTTAATTAGTTAATCTTTTAGCAGATTACAGATATAACAACTAGTATAGAACCTATAAGTAAACTACTTAAATAAATAACCAAAAGCTGTATATGTGACTAGTTGTATACTTATCTTATACATACAAATTATATAATTATAACTAAAATCACAATAAAGATAGTAGCTATCAATAATCAACAACTTTAGTAAAAGTAAAATAAAATCTATATATATATAATAATAAATAATAATGTGATCTGAGGGTCAATAGTGCAGTGATTAGCACTTCCAGGTCACATTTGCAAGGTTGCCAGTTTAATTCCAACTAGGAAAAAAAGCTGTGCCAGGATCATGATTGTTATGATCTTAAGAGGATTTCTCATTTCTATTTCTGGACAAAAATATTACAAGAATGAATGATCTATAGAGATTGCTTACTTCCAATTTTGAACAAAAGTACTATAGCAAGAACAAGTCAAGTAACATAGCCACAGGGTTACATGATGCCCAAATAAGGAAATAATCTGACAAGAAATGTCAATAACATAAAGATTCCAGATTAAAAAATTACTATAAAAGGCAATAGAAATAAGAAGACAGAATCTGTAAGGACTATTGTTAATAGAAAACTGCAGACTTGAGTAAGAGGTCTTACACTGCGGGGCCAAGGATCCAGGTTATCACAATAGTAATAAACTTGTTAATAATATGATATGGTAAAGCTAGAGAATACCACTAGTAATGTATATAGCAACTAAATATGTAAACCTGTAAGTTCCAAACATTAAAGTTAATAAAGAAAATTTGAGTGCCACATGTGCCCCATGATGTAATGCATCAGGAATAGTTAAAAAAAAATAATAATAAAATAATAGTATTATATAGTAATACAAACTTATACAGTTACAAATGGCACTATTGAACAAAAAGAAATATAATAAATTGTCACTTTAAAAATGTCAATATTGTACAAAATTACTCAAGATAGATGAAGCAGATTTGATTTAACAAAAATCAAAAATAGCCTTGAGAACATTATAAAAGAGATTCAGATTAGTATAAAATAGTTAAAGAAGCATATTAGTTTTATTTCTTTGTTTATTGTAACTTATAACAATTAATTACGTTTATTTTATTTATTTTAAGACAAGTTTAAAAAAGTGATTCAGTTTTTATTACAATACAAGATAATTCTATGATAATTAATTACAAAAGAATATAAAAAAATATGATAAAAAGAAAAATTTGATCCATATTTATAGAGACTTTTTAAGAAAAAAAAAAGAACTTTGAATACAGCTTAAAGCATTCTTTTCTTATTATTACCAACTGTTTTTTTTTTTTTTACAAATATTTTTCTTTTTTTCTTAAAGTTTTCAATCATCTCACAATAACACACAACCCAATACATGATAACATATTGATATGAGCATAGACTTTACTTGTTAAGGTAATATTATCTTGACAGATATCTTCTAAATTAGACAGATGACTTGTCTTCAATATGATCAGTGTCATTACTAAGGAACTTTGACTTATCTTGAATTATGAATATTATGATATAACAGTTTTTTATAATGCATTATGTAGACTATTATACATTTTCTCATCATAGCTTTACTCATAACAATAAAAATAAAGATGTAATGTCATATTAGGTGTCTTAAATAAGTAATATAAATATAGTTTAAAAATCTTTAATATAATTACTTCTATTACCTAATAAAGTTTCTACTTTGACTAGATTAGTAGTTTGTGAAATCTTGTAGATCTTGTAAGTTCAGAAATAAGAAATGAAAGTTAGGAAAGGAAGGTATTAGGGTTCTAGTAAACTTTACAAAAGTATAACAGTTTAATAATTAATTCTGACTGCAAGTAATAGTCTAGGCTAGAGTGGTATTGGATCAACTGTAAGTATAAGATACAAAAGGCTTTGATGATTTTAGTAAAAGTTAAACATGACTGAGTAACCATGGTATATTTACAAATTAACATTGTTGTTGATAAGGTAGAGGTGAATACAGAAACTAGAGTGTTTAAATAAAGAACTCAAGGCAAATTCTAGATATGACAACTAGTATAGAACCTTCAGATAGATTACTTAAAATAGATAATAACTAAAGTTATATAAGTGACTAGTTGTACACTCTTTTCATAATTGCCTCTGTAGCTGTTGTAAACAATAGTTATATGCTGACTGATTATCAATAAACTTCTGAGTCACAATTACTTATCTTAATATTAAAAAAAAAAAACATTACCATATTTTATCAAACTCTAACCATTATTTTAAAACCTTAATATCTTAAATTTTATAATTATAATTTATTTTTAATATTTAAAAGAAGAGAACTAAGAAAACTTAGACATTACAAAAAACAACTACAAGACTTCTACAAATATAATAAAATTTTAGAACATTACTTCATCTTACTACCATTGGCACTTAAAATAATCAACATATTCTTCAACATACCAAGATATAGAAAACCAAACTTTGACGAAAATCAATCATATATTGACACAAATACTTTTTTAAAATTATAAAGTATTTGTGTCAAAATATGATTGCCCTTTATCGAAGTCTGCGTCACGTGACATTTTCGAAAATTATGACATTAGTAGCTCACCCACAAAAATTTTCCGGCATGTGATTTATTGCAAATTATATCGAAGGATCAGGTGTAACGTAAAATCAATAAAGTGAAAAGATTTTAGAGTAATAAGCATCGTCTTTAGAGTTAGGATTAAGAATAAGAAGGTCATAACTTATACTAAAATTTCACGAGAAATTTTTTTATTAGAACGCAGAAGGCAGTTTCATAGGTAAAATTTCGATTTTTTAAAAAGACGTGATTTTCACGAGTTAGGTTCTGGAAGAGGTGGAGTGCGAGAAGGAATTCAGGAATTTCTTTTATTGTGTAGTGTTCTCTCAAGGTTTTTAGTGTTTCAGTTGCTTTGTTTTGTTGAGTAATAGGTACACCTGATCCTTCAATCTAATTGGGTATGATAACGTGCCGTAAAAGTCGAAAGTCCTACCGAAATTCTCAGGACTTTCGACTTTCGGTAAGACTTTGATTTTCGGACATTTCGGTAAACCAAATCCTACTTTCGGTATACGTTCGGTACTGAAAGTACCTGCTTTCGGATCCTTAGGTCAGACATGTGATTCCTTAATCATGTGTCCGGACAATTCCCTCTGTGCCATGGTACAGTCTAAAAAATTTCGCTGCCCAATCAAATTTCGAGACCAGGTGTAACGTGAAAAAGTTCAAGAAACTTAATCCAAAAATCGACCGTAACTCAAAATTTTGTCTATGAAAACTGCCTTCTACGTATTAACAAAAAATTTTACTTGCAAATTTTGACATAACTATAGGCCTCTAAATTTAACCTACTTTCAATGCACTACCCTAGCTTAATAGCGAAATGTTTTTTCTTGGCGAAAGTTTTTTTATTGATTTTGCAATAAGATCACATAATGTACGAGATTTTTTAGACTGGTGATAATGAGTGGGCTATGACTTCATTAGTGAAACTTTAGTGAATTCCGGCCCATCCGATCACGATTTTGAGGTATTCCGACTCAGAAATATGGGGACCTCCCTGTATGAGTTCTTATTTGGTATCATTTGAATAGCCTTAATGAGACGATTCGAGCATAAATATTAAGTATTAAACTAGTTTGCTTTTTAAATAGTTCTATAAAAGTAAATATTCAAAAAGACGATTTACTGCTCCGAGATGACTGTACATAACAGTTTTTTACCTCGTTGAACTGATTCAGGTACACAAATCAGAAGTTATGAGGTTTACAGATCTAAGAAACTTCTATTATTGGTATCATTGTTTTAGATATCACCCTTAAACTTACTCTTGGATGTCATTATAAAAGTTGTCTTTATATCCATCTTCGATATTGGTCTCGTTTACTAATGCATCCGTATTGATATCAATTTCTCGTTTTATGTTTTGATCTGATTCTCTCTGAAAACTCTGCACTATTGCCTGAGAATTATAACCCATCCTTCCTGTAAGCTATTGGAGTTGAATTTGTGTTCAACAATAGTAAGGAGATAGATCGTATTTAGTACTGATATACAATGCATCACACAGCTACATCAATAGCCTTCTAAATATGGGATAAACAAATTAGTCATGATACACATCGCAAGACACGTATCACCATGTTGTTTAAACTTTATGTACACAACCATGTTGTGAAAATTTCTCAAATAACAATATATAGTAATTAAGTAATGTATATGAATGTATATACAGTAAAATAAGTACAGTTTAATACTGTATATGGTACTCAAACTTTCATTTTTAAATTAATTGGTCCGGAGATACTTTTTATAGAACCTGGTAAAACCAATAGACTAATATAGCTATAACCCCGAATATTACTTAAGAATAATTATTTAATGTTAATATATCATAAGCAGTGCTTAATGATAAGAATTAATGTTCACAAAAAATTCTTAACCGATATTCTCTTCTATAATCTATCCCTAACCATTAACTATATATGCTATCAAAATTATACGTAGTATAAACATGCATATTAAATATTTGTAGTACTCCAAAAAAATTAATTTGTAACGCAGAAATTCAACCAGTAATTGAAAGGAGGTTACATCATAATTTTTGTTCATGGAACCGTTTTTGTACTCTAGAGTTGTCACGAATTTTTGTAAAAGATTAACTACCATTAGCCAAATTTCAATTTTTTGTATGTTTAAATTTGATTGGGATCCTTTTATATGAATTGAAGAATTACACAAACGCAATGTAAACAACTTTTTTTTTTTAAAAAAAACATACAATATAATTTACCACAAATTAATTCAATTCTTATACTCCAGCAACGGACAAAATAACGAATGTGTAAACATATTTGTTTACTACGTTAGAGAATTCAGAAATAAGTCCTTTAGAAAGTTTCATGTTTTCACCATTGAATAAATTGGTTAATTAATAGATTTGTTAATTAACAAATTTACGCAATTTTAAAATCCATTTTTTTTTTTTAATCTTGACAACTATCAAGTTCATATAAACTTAATCGTTACGATGATCAATAATGAATAATTTTAACTAACCTAGATGTTTCGATTAATTCTTATGTTGAATATAAAAAGATAACACATTCCTCGTGCTCAACTTCTTCAACAATAAGATGTATATTAAAAAACAAAAAACCGAATAAAATTCATTTTTATTGCTTTTTGCAAATCTGAAATACTTCATATTCTTCTATTTCAAAAAAGTTATCTGTGCACCTAATAGGTTTTTCATATTGACGCTGATTGCAATGCCACTTTGTTTCATTTTTAACATTAATGTGCATAAAAAGATCGTTATCACCGAAAATAGGTCCACAATTCTTATGATACCTAATTGCATGTGCGGAATTTTCTACACGACTGAGGACTGGATTGTTCGAATAACTATTTCTTAAAGAAAAAATAAAACTATCATTCGTTTCTGCATATTCAGCGCCAGTAATTGTCACCGATTTTTTCCATGCAAGAGGATTATATCCGCCAAGAATCTCTTTAGTCCTTTGAACTTTTAAAACTATCACTGTATTACAAACGCCATCACATAAATTCTGAAAGACTTCTGGTGTAAATCCATCTTGACTTCCTCTAAGTATTAATTTAAATTCATACTGAGTATCGGTTGCATCATAAGTTGTTCGATAATCAATCCACGATGAAATCAATGCAGCATCTTCTTTTGTAATCACATTTGATGTTAGTGCAAATGATTGAACAGGTGAAGTAATAGTATAAGAATTCTCTAAAGATAATGTAGCACTTAAAACATCCCTACGAGGTAAAATTCTTGAACTAATCGGTACATTTGGTGCTATATGGTTGGTCTTAATATCTACCCATAAATCTCGGTCAAGAATTTTACGATAAGGCTTAATCTTATTCACTACATCTTCTCCAGAAATATGAAAGTATCGAATATGAGGTAGACAATACTGAAGTGTTTGTTTCAATGATATAAAATCTTCATTAGACCAAGTGCTAACGTCTGAACTTAAATTGGGATTCTGTGCAATTCCCCACCTAATTACATATTCCCAAATCTTCCCTTCATCCATTTGTAAATCATCACGTTCTAGAAGAGAGATCAAAGCACTTTCTGGAAAAGAGGAAAAATCTTCAGAATCAAATATGAAGCTTGGATAATTTGCTATAACTTCTGCACAAAATTGTTGCAAAGGTTTAAAATTTTCATTCTCTATACTAATTTGATAAATGCGAGTAAAGTTCCTTGAAGCATCTGTTTCAGTAATATGTAATTGAATATGCATAACCAACTCTTCAAGCTCAAAATGATTTGCTGCAATTAAAAGGTCAAAAATTGTTGATGAATCAACATTTTCTAAAAAAATAATACCACTATAAATGTACCTTTATAATAAAAATATTTACATTAGCGCTAATTTATTTCTTAATAATTAAAATTTTAATTCCCATACCTTACCTAATTATAATTTCAAAAACTTTAACGGAAATATCAGGTTTTTTAATTACTATGATGTTATTTTCACTGTAAGTCATTTTGCCTAATTCTCTAAAATAAGAGCATCGAGAACTTAAAATGATAGAATGTGCTTTAAAAATTTGATTATTTGGTTCCTGACCGACTTCAATGATTGTGTTATATCCATCACCATTGTCAAGAAGATTTGCTAAATCGTTGGATAGTTGTTCGAAAAGTTTGGTGGTCATTTTATTTTTAGTAATCGTAAAAGGTTAAAAATTTTGCTAAAAGAAACATAAAAATTGAGTCACTGGTTGATGGTACAAAAATCTCATGCGTACCAAATATATTACACATTTTTTATATACTGATACGTATGTATCATTTTGTATCATTTTTTGTACACATGTACACATGTACTTGTGTACACTCAGATTTACATAGGAAATCACATGAAAAATGTTACACATATCATACATATCATGCATCATTGTATTCGATACAGCATCCTGCTGAATACAAGATTTCTGGTAATACGTACGTATCTGTGTTACTTGTTCATCTTATCGAAACCAAAATTAGCAACAGTAATTTTTTTTCTTTATAAACAAAAATTGGGTTGTTTATCATGATGCGTTAAATGTAGCCGCATGCTAATTATTATCGCTATTAAAGAACGCACTGCATATCGATATACGTAGTACAAAACCAGTCATTGGTACTAATAATAATTTCTTTGAACTATAAGAAATAATTCGGATGAGAATAGAAGCAAATTGAATCGAATCACGTCATTAGTTTTTATTTTCATCAAATGTTGTTTTTGAATTAAAATATATAACGATAAATGTGGTTTGGTAATTATGTTAATAAGAGGCACATGAACAAGATCATTTTCATTTGGTTTAAGAAATTACAACCATCCATATCTAGGAACAATCGTGGTAGTACAAACTTCAAAACTTGAAATTTGTGACTCAGGACCGATCTGTCCAATAAAAAATATGGGGATGATCGATTAAACAATTGGTCATGTCTGTACATGTGATAATTAGCCAATCAATTTTTTATAAAATTAAATCAAAGATATCTTACGATCCAGCAGTCAGATTTTGATGAATCTTATATCATTCGATTGGTCTCAATGAGAAGAATTGAATGGTATAAGATTCGTCAAATTCTACATACTAGAAAATGAGAATTCAATAATATTAAAATCTTTTATTTGTTTATATATTTTTTAATAAAATTGTTTATATATTTCTTAATAAAATTTTATTTTTAAATAGTGTAAATTATTATTATTATTATTATTTTATATTAATTATAAGTCATGCTTTTATATTTATTGAATATTTAATTAAAATTTTTATATAAAGTATAAAATTATTATAAAAAAATAGAAGTTTAAATTAATTTATTTATAATTCAAACTAACAGAAGTAGTCAAGGCTCATCTAAATTTGGGTGTTAGTAACTATATATAAAAGATTAGTTTAATCTTTGATTTATTGTATATATCAGAAATTGATTTTGAAGCTAATAAAAATTAAAAGAAAAAAGTTAAAGTAAAAGTAAAAATAAAAATAAAAAGTAAATTAAAAATAGAAGATTAAGTTATAATATAAATTATTTTTACTTAATCTATTTAATAAATATATTTTGTTAAATTGTTTGTAAATTATTTCTATTTGTATTTTAAATTTTAATAATTAAAATTTTTTAATATATACTAATTAACTTTATAAATTTTTATAATATTCAACTTATTTTTTACAAAATTGTTATATATCAGAATAATGAATTTAACAATTTTACTAATTGTTTTGCTTACAACTATTTTAATTTTTATATTTAATATTTAACTCCCACTCTCAAAACAACTATAATTCTAATTATATACTTTAATTAAATAATTATTTTATTAATCCACTTATTTGTTATTATATTTGCACAATATATTATATATATATTTATATATTTTGATCAATTTAACTATTTTTAAAATATAGCAATGTGGTTATTACAATATTATATAAAAAACACTATACTAATAGCTATACAAATTAACTAGAATAGGGTGTGGCGACCTAGTGAAGTGGTCAGGTTGTTAACCCCCAAGTGGCAGGTTCAGAGTTCAAATCTCAGTATTAACAGAAAATTTAAAAATTCTCTCTGTATTATAGTTAACTGTCTCTCGCAATTAATTGAGATAAGACACCTGTTATCTATATCGCATCAGCATGACTAGCAGATTACATGGCATTTGTGTATCAGTCATATGACATTGTTCTTTAGAACAAGATTTGTGGTTACACAAAGGAATGCAAACTGATACCAGGCAGTGCAAACTTATAATAAGTCCTTATGGCCATGTAAATCATAGAAACCAAAAGAAGAAAGATGAAAATTCACTTGGAAGACCTGAGTAGAAAGATAATCTGAACTTTTGATGATGTTACTATAAAGACTAGACTTATGAAATGGAGCTAGAACTTGTGAAACTGAGTATATATACC